TATATATACAGTGTATATAATTTGCCTGTGAACATAATTTTTTGCCTACCAGTAGAAATGTGATTCATACTTTACTTTACCTCATGAATTGTGAACTTAAGCAGCAAAACCATGACCCATAAGGTCTTTTTTTTTTCTCCATAGATGGACACACACTATATTTGAAAGAGAAAAGGCCCACATCCATGTAATGTTCAGGTAAAAATAGTAGTATTTCAGGTTCTAAGTATGATTTTCAGACCAATTTGTACCTTCATAATAAACTTGTTTTAAGTTTTTTTTTTTCATTAATCCTATATGCATTTAATAAAATGCTCTTCAAATGACTAACTGTCACCATAAAAGGCAGGCAAAGCGCATCTACTTGTCTATTTGCAAAACATCTCAGTGAACTGTCCAATAAAAGTAATCATGTAAAATTAAAATAAATATGTTAAAAATGAGTAAAAAAATGTCGACAGAAGCAGTCGTCAGTAGAAGTCCAAAGCCTAACTTTGATTTATTGTCATTGATAAAGGCTTATTCAACCTTTAAAACATTTCAGTGTGGTGGTGCTAGGAAAAACCCTGCATGCAGGATAACATGTGCTAGTCATTTCTCAAAAGTAAGAACAGACAACAGCTTGCTTAATTTGTATTCACTAAAGTTTGTTTGTAATTGAGGGCATCTCTGGCATGCAGCTGTAATTATAGTTTCTACATCGCACGAGCCGGAGCCACGGGCCTGCCATAAAAAATCTGGCACATATCAGCAGGGAACAATGAGCACAAGGTTGTCACCCGAGGGACACTTCCATTACGTGACAAAAGTGTGTAGGTAATTTGATTTACTGTTTAGTTTTGCAACCTCTGTCAGACCCGCAGCCATACACAGCAGTGAGAGTGCATGGAGATTGACTACAAATGAGAGGACTGACCTGCCAGGGTCGCACATTTCCAAAAACAATTTGTGCTWTCATTTAGCTGGAGATATTAGTTGGTAAAATGTGTTCCATGGCTGATTTCTGACTAATGGATAACATGCATAAAGATAATAGTCTCTGGATGAAACATCACTTTCAGTCCCAAAGGGCAAAGTCTTGAACTTTACTTTGGAAAATTATTTTGCAGCTCTGGAGAAAGAAGAAGTAAACRCATGCTGAAATAATAGTTGTCATTTTTAACATCAAACACATCTGATCTGTGACTGTATCATGTGTAGGTTTAATATTGTAAAAGCTCTTATGTACAGTAAATGTATGCTGATGTAGACTCTCAGTTACCCAGGACATGGTAAATATCAATCAATCAATCAGTCAAAACAACTAGACATTGCTTCTGTATTTGAAGATGTTACACGTTGCTTCATTTCATATTAAGAAAACAATCCAGATGGAACATGAAACATCTTCAACTACAGTTTAAATGCTTTGTGAAGCTGTCAATACTGGATAAAACAAAAAAAAAGTTTTGATGCTCATTAAAATATTTCATATCAGTCTTACAATACWTAAACCTTTGCACAAGATTATTATAAGTACAAATTAATGACTGATGCTTGATAAAGACATTAAACTAAAAAAATAAAAGAAAAAGTAAAATTGCTGTATTTTTATTTATCTGTTAAAAAGCAGGGGGCTGGTGGGGTGCCCGAAGATTATTATGTGGCGGGCAAGGCCCCCATTGGCCCCTTCCTGACTCCAGACTTGCACTTGGTAGTAGATAAAATTACTCCCTCCGCTTGTCAGGTTTCATCACTCTGTGCTGCCTAAGACAGGCAAAACAATACACAGCTTAACGGATACCTACTTAAATTTCTTGCACTAATAATAATAATAATAATAATAATAATAATAATAATAATAATAATAATAATAATAAATGAATAAATAAATAAATAAATAAAAATTTTGCATCCGCTGTTAAATTCCAATCCAGAAAAATACTCATCTTGAAAACTACAAACATTTACTATTCAAATCCCTCAGTGACAAGGGGCATTGAGGTACCGCTTAATGTACTTGATATAGAAGACAGTTTCAAACCAAGAATAAATTGCTCAAGAGATAAAATGATAAGAACTTACCTTCTTTAACTGTGGATGTTTTTAATTTTTTAATTTTTTTGAGATACAGATTTCTTCTCTGTCTGTAGTTGTAAGATTCTAAGTGTTTTGAAATCTCAGCCTGATAAATTGACCTTTTTATGCAGTGCAGAGGTAGAACACATTAGTTGACAAAGTGAAAAACAATCCAGTAGTGTAATAGGACTGCTTTTGTCTTTATCAATCAGTGTAATGATGCTTTAGCATGCCAGAGGCATATTTACAGATTGGGAACATTCATCTTGTTCTAAATGTGGACTCATCTTTTTTATTCTGTTCTTGTATTTTAGGTTGTTACATTCTCAGTAGCCTTTTGTGATAACAATTTGATACATATAGATTAGTTTACAGTGAAAATTTATTGTACAAAGTCTTCTTAAAGCAGTTCATAGGAGTAGTCATCACAAAGTTTTGGTTTGTACAAAAACAGATTTAAACAGAACTGTCAAAACCTAAGCAGCTGAAGTATAGCAATGCTTTTTTTCAGCTGTTGTTGAAATGCTACCCATTGTTACTAATTGAACCGTTATATTGCTATTTTCAGTAATCAACTACAAACAACTTTTCCCTGTTGTGACAGCTCACTGAACACAGGTAAAGAATCACACACATTCAGCAATATTTATAAAAATATATTTCACAAAGTAGGAAACAATACAGGGTATCTTAGATTACAGTACAGGGAGTAAATAATTGAACATACACATTTATAAGCATCAAAGCACAGTAGAAAATATGATCTGCATGTTGGACTATTTCATATATATTGTTTAGTCTACTGAGAACTGCCAGAATACTGTATCAGTACAAACTGAGTATACACGCAGCTGTAGTGCCATTGAAATTCCCATTATGTGCAAGAGCTAACGTGCAGAGACAAAACCTACCACCTCATAAGCTAATGACGTTAGCGGTAACTTTATGTACAGAACAAGTCTTTTTTATTGGTATCATACAGTGTAAGCACAATATGCACATGATCTCAATCTGTGTTCCAATTTTTTTTTCTTGGGCTAATACAATCTGTTTTTTCTAAACGTGATTTGATTTTTAAAGTCACATAATTTGATATCAATTTGACTATTGCACTCACTTACTGTACCATTGGATATTGTTTTAATCTATTCAGAATCCTCATTTGTCAGATAGGTCTTAGTTCCAATTTAATAAATTATCTTTATTGTTGGGGTATCTTGGAACATTTGTGTCTGCTTACATCTGGACTATTTCAACAACTGCAATGGATTTATGATATTGTTTGGCTGTTATGAAATAGTGTTCAAGTGGTGGAAAAAGCTAAATGTGAAATAATCTAAACACTTCTTTCAAATAGTTGGTACAGAAAAAAATGATTTAATAACAGATATACAAAAGAATTGATAGAACAGTAATGAAGAATTAACACATCTTGTCAAAAACAGTAGATTACAATTGTATTTAATGTTGCTTCTGTAAAAAGAAGGCCTCAGAGTTTCTACATTTCTCTTTTTTGTCTTTACATCAGTCTTTATAGGCTAGTAACACTTGGAACCCACACCTGTAGCATGTAAATACAAAGAGTTGTATAAAGCAAGCCTTTCTGGGCTTTAGATAGTTTATAAATGTTGCCACCAGAGAACATTTCAAATTATGACAAACTGACCACCAATACTGGTTTGTCTTTTTGCTATTTTCCCTTTCAAACCATACTTACATTCATCAATGTAATGAAGACCATATATTGCTTTTTCATTTTCATTTTGTCTCCCTTTTACCTTTCAGCTGGGTGACTTTGGGAGACAAGGGTATCAGTCCCTTTGCAGCTTCTGTAGTCCAACTTGGTGTCCATAGAGCATGGGGTATGGTGTCCATTCAAGCTTCAGAATCCAACAATAACTGTTCATTGGGCAACTACCAGAATTGCCAGGGGTTTTCTGCTACTGGCCGTCATAGCAAATGACAAACACCCAAAGTACTGCTAGACACTCCACAAAAGAATCTAAGGTACACTCCACAAGAATCATAGTTCTTCTAAGAAAGACATTGTTTGGCTCAACAAGTACAATGCGCTTGACGTAGTGAATGACAACTGCTATACCTCACTCTAAAAAAATTACAAAAAGGTGGCCCTCATTTTTAATAACAGTTTTTTTGTTTGTTTTGTTTTGTTTTGTATGTTTGTTTGTTTTTGTTTTTTACACCTGTTTCTATAAGCCAGCAACCCCTACACAAATATGTGGACAGAAAAGCAAAAAAAGTCAAAGGTCTTTTTTTTCCCTTCTAACAAAACAAAGGTCAGGTCTCGCGGTCACTCTCACCCACAGAGTAGAGCTCCCCAAGTCTTCTAAAGCGTGGGCCCCACTCTCTGAGATAGTCATAATTCTGATCTGAGTCTGACGATGCTGTTTCCAATGAGCTAAGGGAACCTGCAATTGATCCCCGGCCCTCGTATCCATAGATCTGGATGGAGTCATAAGGCGGTGCTGTTGGATCATTGTCTGCCTCGTGGAGTCGTACATTGATAAATTCATCCACGTCCACACCGTTTGGGCCAGAGTGCTGGCCTGCCCGTGGCATAAACTGTAAGTCTGGCTTGATGTCTTTGCGTGGCAGGTATCCATTGATACCATCCGGGTTCTGTAGTGTGGCAATGTCAAACGCCTCTGTGTCTTCCTCACCACCTCCTTCATCGTCATACCGGATAATATTCTCTCTGACATCTTCATCATCCTTAATAATCAAAGGTTCATTCTTGTGTCTCCTCAGGGTCACAAAAAGTACTACTATTACTGTCAGAAAAAAATGGGGGAGGAAGGGGAAACAAGGAAAAGAACAAAGAAAGTCTTGGTCAAGATTTGACAAATGGATTTTCTTTTGGTTTAACAAAATTGATAATCATTGTCTAATTATGCAATATTTATCTACATCTGTTAGACCACAGCAAATAATGTCACTTTATGAAAAAGAAAATAGTTCACCTAGCAGGAGTATGACGCAAGCCAGGATGGCAATGAGAGCCCCCATACTAAGCCCAATAGGTAAGACGTAGGCTTCAACATTGCAGGACTGGACTATTCCATCTTTGCTGCATCCACAGACTCGGATGGTCAAGGTGTTGGTGCTGCTCATTGGTGGATGCCCATTGTCTGTCACGATGATAGGCAGGAAGTATGTCTCCTGTTTCTGTCGTCGAAAGGTGTCATGTTTGGCAAGAACACTGATTGTATTGTCTGTCGGAGAGAGAGAGAGGAGAGAGAGAGAGAGAGAGAGAGAGAGAGAGAGAGAGATTCATAGGTAAATTCTCACAAGGATGTGTGGAAAAACATTATTATTCACATAGCTGATAGACACAATTCCTGTTATCAAATTATGTGAAGATCAGTGCAGCATAAAAGTAAACTAATTTTCTATCCGTTATCACCAGGCTGTTTAACATTCTCCCATTACAACTGTAAATGATTTCAGTCACCTTCTGTTTCTCCTTTATCTTATCTTAGCACTGAAACGTAGGAATGCCAAAAGACTGTGTGCCCGAGTTTTGCCATTCCCCTTTAAAATCTTTGAAAATGAAGGCAAGCGACAATGACTAAGAAGATGGCACATGTCGACCCAGAAAGGTGCCAGCTGCTCTTTGATGACACTTCTGTGAAGCTGTCTGCTCATTAGCTGGCACTCCTTACCCTGTTCACAATATCAAACACTTGCATCCTCATAAGAATCTACTCCTGGTGATCTTATTGAAATCGAACAAGATGTCTGATAGTCTAACCTTTGCCTCATTGCTTGAGGATAAACTAAAGAGAGAAGGGAAAATTCTGTACGACATATAATAAAGAAAACAAGGCCATGTGGAAACTTCTGCACTGGCATAGCAAACTTCATCAAAAGATTAAATGCTTTATGTAAGTATCACTTGCTTTGCACAAATCTGTAATTGATGTGAACATATGCTCAGATTTATTTTCTTACCAGTGCTGCTACTAAGTGGTACGCTCTGCCTTGTAAGCATCAACATGTCCTACTTAATTTGGATCATTCTGCAGTGGATGCTAGGTAAGAAAGTATCAACTACAATGTAGTGAATTATTAAGACACCTTTTGTACACATCTTTCTTATTATATTGCCAATACTGTTGACAAAAATATGATTCAACAATTCCTATATGTTCTTATTACCTTTTAAAGTGGTTTTATTATGAAGTTTCCAGGCTTTTGATTTCAATTTTTGATATGTTATGCATATCAAAGCATTGATTGTCACCATGGTGAAAACAGACCGTTTTTTAAAGGTAAATAAATCAATGTGTGGGAAACTATAAAGAACAGTAATTACAGTGGAAGTCACTTTATATA